AGAGAATAAAATACCTAGGAATACAATTAACAAAGGATGTAAAGGACCTCTTCAAGGAGAACTACAAACCACTGCTCAAGGAAATAAGAGAGGACACAATCAGATGGAAAAACATTACATGCTCATGGTTAGGAAGAATCAATATCATGAAAATGGCCATACTGCCTAAAGTAATTTATAGATTCAACACTATCCTCATCAAGCTACCAATTACCTTCTTCACAGAACTGGAAAAACCACTTTAAACTTCATATGGAATCACAAGAGAGCCTGCATAGCCAAGACAATTCTAAGCAAAGAAAACAAAGCTGGAGGCATCACACTGCCGGACTTCAAACTATACTACAAGGCTACAGTAATCAAAACAGCATGGTACGGTACCAAAACAGAGACATAGTCCACTGGAACAGAACAGAGGCCTCAGAAGAAATACCACACATCTACGACCATCTGATCTTTGACAAACCTGACAAAAATAAGCAATGGGGAAAGGACTCCAAGTTTAATAAATGGTGTTGGGAAAACTGGCTAGCAATGTGCAGAAAGCAGAAACTGGACCCCTTCCTGTCACCTTACACTAAAATTAACTCCTGATGGATTAAAGATTTTAAAATAAAACCTAACACCATAAAAACACGAGAAGAAACCATAGGCAAAACCATCCAGGACATAGGCACAGGCAAGGTCTTCCTGACTAAAACACCAAAAGCAGTGGCAACAAAAGCCAAGATAGACAAATGGGACCTAATTAAAATTCAGAGCTTCTGTACAGACAAGAAACCATCATTAGAGCGAACCAACAACCAACAGAATGGGAAAAACTTTTTGCAGTCTACCCATGTGACAGAGGGCTAATATTCAGAATCTACAAAGAACTAAAACAGATACACAAGAAAAAAACAACCCCATTCAAAAGTGGGCAAAGGATATGAACAGACACTTTTCAAAAGAAGACATATATGAGGCCAAGAAAAATATGAAAAAATGCTCATCATCACTGGTCATTAGAGAAATACAAATCAAAACCACATTGAGATACCATCTCACGCCAGTTAGAATGGTGATCTTTAAAAAATCTGGAGACAACAGATGCTGGAGAGGATGTGGAGAAATAGGAACACTATTACAGAGTTGGTGGGAATGTAAATTAGTTCAACCATTGTGGAAGACAGTGTGGCAATTTCTCAAGGATCTAGAAATAGAAATTCCATTTAACCCAGCAATCCCATTACTGGGTATATACCCAAAGAACTATAAATCGTTCTACTATAAAGACACATGCACATGTATGTTCATTGCAGCCCTGTTTACAATAGCAAAGACCTGGTACCAACCCAAATGCCCATTAATGATAGACTGGACAAGGAAAATGTGGCACATATACACCATGGAATACTATGCAGTCATAAAAAAACGATGAGTTAGTGTCCTTTGTAGGGACATGGATGAATCTGGAAACCATCATTCTGAGCAAACTGACACAAGAGCAGAAAATCAAACACCGCATGTTCTCACTCATTGGTGGGTGTTGAACAATGAGAACACATGGA